TCCTAAATGCTGGGATTAAAGGTGTGTGACACCATGCCTGGCAGATATGTTTTTTAAACCCTGGTAGAAGTCACTCTGATAATACATGAAATGAAAAAGAATGAGGTAAAGCAAAATTTTCCAGAAAGGCTGAGCACAGTAAACCCTTCCACAAATTACTGACACTTGAGTAAGGGTGCAACAACAACAACACAGGCTCCAGACGCCTTCAAAATTATATGCCATGCTCTGTGCACGACGCTTCACGTTCTGAAACTACACTACAATACCGATTTTTACTAAATACCGTCTTTTACTAAAATGTCTGTCGGTTCCTACGTCCATGTTGCCAAATGTTCGTCTGAGCAAAGGTTATCCTAAAGTAAAATTGATAGAAAGCAAAGGACACCATCCAGGGAAGAATAAGTGAATGAAAGGCCCATTGCCACTAACATAGATGTAGGAAGCTTTACATATTATCCAATTGCAGGGTTTCCATTTCCCCCTTTGGTTGGATGCCTACCACCTTGGGAAGAAAAAAAGGAGAAAGAAAGGAAGGGAGGGAGGGAAGGAGGGAGGGAGGGAGGGAGGGAGGGAGGAAAACTGAGCAGCACTGCATTGTATGTGGTTGATGGGAGATGTCATTCTGTAAATATGTTTCTCTTATTGGTTAATGAATAAACAACTGTTGGCCAATAGGAAAACAAGATAGGCGGGACTAGGAGACTAGAAGGAGAGAGGAAGAAGTATGGAGGACAGAGAGAGTAGAACACCGGGCCCTCTCTCCAGTGAGATGACCATGTGGAAATACTTAAATTAATAGAAATAGGTTAATCATTAAGATAGAGCTAGCCAATAACTAATAACTAATAACTAGTTACTAGCCAACAGCATTACATCAAATATAGCTTCTCTGTGTTATTTGGGGCTGGTGTGGTGGTGGGACCAGACCAACAGGGAAAACCTACTCATAACATATGGTTTGGGATTCACATGCTACTGAACCAAATATGAGATACCTTCATGGATGCATATCCACCACAAATCCCAAAGGTTAAGTCAACTCATCTGGGCTAGGCCCCCAAAATCTGAAATGACCACCTTGGAGACAGCCATCCTCCTCCCTTCCTGATGATATGAGTTCATGGGAATACCTGCATTACCAGAGACAGCTAGTTACAGCATAACAGGAATAAAAACCCCACACTGCAACCTCCCACGCTCCTCACATGTGGTTAGGATAAATGTGATCTCTCAGTAATAGCCAACACTCACATCTATCCTCTATTTTACTCTTACTGGAATAATCAACAATTTAGTGAAACTGTGTATCCACTGAAAGAATGAAAACTGAAGATAATTCCTGGGTTACAGTGATATGGTTCAATTTCTCTCTTTAAAAAGTATGCAAGTCCGACAGTGGTGCCTCACACCTTTAATCCCAGCACTTGGGAGGCAGAGGCAGGTGGATTTCTGCGAGTTCAAGGCCAGCCTGGTCTACAAGAGCTAGTCCCAGGGCAGTCTCCAAAGCCACAGAGAAACCCTATCTTGAAAAAAAAATGTGCAATTAGATTACATGTACAATGAATTCACTGCTTATAAATAATAATAAAAAACAACTAAATTTTGTTACATAGCTATTATATAGATCCAACAAAAACGATACAAAAATTCAAATATAAATATCTCGCACTTTTAAATGAATATGTTTATTTTATAACCAAAATAACTGGTGTGTGAGTGTGCGCATATATAAAACATTTAGCTTGTTTTCTTTGGGAGGGGGGCTTGTTGTTACTTTTCATTTTTGAGACAGAGTTTCTCTATGTAGTCCTGGCTGTCCTGGAACTCGCTCTGTAGACCAGGCTGGCCTCGAACTCAGAGATCCACCTGCCTCTGCCTCCTCGGTGCTGGCATTGGGATTAAAGATGAGTGTCAACCTCACCTGGCTCAAACATTTAGATTTTACATACAAAAATATATCCCCATCATTCCATGCTATTTCAGCAGGCCACAAGATTGTCGCCATCACCTGCTTCCCTATGAGATCAGCGGTAAACAGCTTTCCTCCAGAGAATAAGGCATTGACCAAAATGAAAGGCATCATAAGCTGGATTGGTAATGTTGGGGCCAAAACATGCATGATTTCTTCAACTTATCCACATTAGTCAAGTTGATTCTATATAATATAATACAAACATATCTCTCTTCCTTTCTCTCTCACACACACACCCTATATCTTTAAGGATAAAATATAGGCACCTTAATGTGAAAAATACTGAAAATGTACATTAAAATATGTTTACTAATCTAAAGATGACATGTGCTCCAGCTTTGCTGATTTGTTTTTAAATGACTTACTCATTACTTGCGTAAATGCAAGTGTCTCTGATTCTCAGATTTATTTACCGCCCAGTGTTTTGGACCTCTCCATAATGCCTGCCCATGGAATACAGCACTGGTTGATAAAATGGCACAGGACTATAACCTCAACACTTTGAGAGGTAGAGACAGGATGACCAAGGGTTCAAGGCCATCAACTACAAGAGATCTTGTCTCAAAAAAAGCAAAGCAAACAAATACCCAGGCAGCAGGACCACTGAGTTTATTACCTGTAGCTGTCCTTGCCTGACATTTCACCGTCAAAGATAAAACTGCCCTGCTAGATAAGCTCACCCCTTTGAGAGTGCACAGCCTGAAACAACATTAACTGAGCGGCCCTGAAAGCCCTAGGCAATGAAATTAGTTACAAAACTAACTCTTGCCTATTTCTGAAAGATAGGAACTCAGGAAAGATTTAAACCAAACCTTTAATAAGAAACAAGATTAGTGTTAGAAAATTCTAGCTTTAAATTAAGCTTGGCATCATGAAACAGCCATGTACAAACTAGGTAAACCTCATTTTCCTCATCTTTAATGCACACATGAGAGGATCTTCTTCCTATAATTATAGAAAAGATTAAAAAATGAGTATGTATAAATTAATTAGCATAGATCCCAGAACTCCACTACGGACAAGCATTTTAGATTTTGCTTTCAAATACTGTTACTAAAGCAATGATTTCATATTAAAAAAAAAAAAAAAAAAAAAAAAAAAAAAACCTACTTCTCTCAAAGGGTCCATAAAGCTCAAAAAAAAAAAAAAAAAACCCACATATTATTTCTAGAAATTAATACAAACACAGATGATCTAGCTAATGTGAGCAATGCAATGAATAAAAGAAATTATATTTGTCTGTGCAAGTGAAAAAAATTAATTCCTCAATTTGCCAGAGTAACTTCAACACAGCACATGCAAATTATGAATTTTTAACCTGAATTTCAATGAAAAAAGTTTTAATCATCTAACTTCAGAGACTTCAGAAGGAATATCCAGTTCATATACATTGTTAAGCTGTATGTCACTGTTTTTAGGAATACGATAAATATTCATATTAATAGTTTGCTCATGTCACTCAATGATTCCTTCCTCAACTAATTCGCTAAGATATCCACCCCCACCCACAAAAAAGAATAATGAATACACTCATGCTGAAGTAGGAGAATGCCTTGTCTGGGATCTGTAGTTTCATTTTGTAACTACTGCTTTTTTTGAGTTGATAACTGTCTTTGACAGGAAAAGAGGTCATGGTGATACTTATCATAGTCCATTATTAAATGAATTCACCTTAGATTAGACACTCAAAATACACTCTTTAATCCTCAAATATGAATTAAGCATCTAATGAGGAGGAATTTTCTTTCACATATGAAGGTCTAAAACAATAGGGAAATGGAAGTCTATACTACCAAATCAAGTATAAAGCTCAAAAGACATAGAAAAACACAAGTCTCCACAAAAATATTTAACTCTCCATAGTGTTTTCCTACTAACTTAATTTAATGATCTAACAGTTAGATCATTATACATATGTGAAATGTACATATAGGAAGATGCATTTTATATATCCACCTCTCTTTAATGTAGCTCTATCACGGTTAAATAAGGATCAAGATAAACAAATAGGCCGAATAGATGTTTATTTAGGGAGAAATAACTTACAACCTAGACAGATGAACACCAGGAAATTCCACCCGATCCTCTCCTGTCCAAGTCACGCCAGAAAGAGCGCCTTTCCTGGCCCCCTCCGACCTCCTTCCACAGGTCACTCCGCCCATGGCTCCACCCCCAAATGGGCGTGGTCAGTGCCACAGAACTATCTCACTACAATTTATGCAGTCTCATAACAAACAGAATATATGTTCACAGAAAAACAAGAATGATACAATGGTGATTTCATTAAGATATGTCACCCATGGGCTCAGATTTTTGAATACTTGGTATTCAGTTGGCAGCACATGTTGGGGGAGGTGTAAGAGGTGTGGCGATGTCGGAAGAAGTATGGCGTGGCTGTTGGACTTTGAGAGATTTCGTCCTTGTCACTTTCAGATCACTCTCTCTGATTTGTGCTCATGGTTATGGTTCAAGAAGGGTGCTCTCAGATTAATATTCTCACTGCCATGACTCCCTGCCATGATGGATTCTTATTTATTCTAGAACCTTAAGCTCAAAATCAATTCCTTCTTACATGGGTTGACTCCTTGGTCATGATGTTTTTACATCAACAGAAAAGTAACTAATGCACCTGGTTCCTTGTTATTATCTTCTAGTTTTCTATCACACACATATGGAATTAGTCCCATTCAACAATACCTGTATTTATTCTCTAACACCTATATTTACTTCAACTAAGGTATACATTTCACATTTCAACAATTCTTTTCAACAATGCTACTTCCTCAGTCTGTTAAAAAGAAAGAAAGAAAGAAGGAAGGAAAGAAAGAAAAGGTAGCATGCAGCCTTCAGTCTGCTGGAAATATTTCCTGAAACAAAGCATTCAACCAAATTTTCTTTGTAATTGTTAGTGGAGTATTTAAAGCAACAGCAAGGCTATAAATAAAAATGCAAATATCTCTCAAAAGCTAAATACAGTGGCTACCATCAGAGAACAGTAATTTACAATTAATGTAGCAAAGCTTACCTGCTCATTTTTGCAAAGCCACACGCTGTTTCCCCTCAACACAGTAAAAATTTTGGCTTTATAGCCTCTCAATTCAAGATATCCACATTTCTCGGGTGCCATAGCTGCTTGCAACTGTGCAGTGAGGGATGGTGACTTCAGTGCACTTAATAATACGCTGATCCAATCATTTCTCTCTTCTGAAATTAGAGAACATATATGTATATAAGGCATATGGACATAGAAGCATCAACATGAGATCTGCTTGCTTTAGACCAAGTAGCATACAGATTCTTTTTTTTCACAGCCACAGTCTAAATTCCACTCTCAGCAGAGGCAAGAAGAGCTCAAGTTTAGCAGAACGGAAAAAACTATGTAGCGAGGTGTCCTGGAGCCGGTACAATGAGCTTCTTCTGGGACCATACAAGAAAGACCACACCTCAGGCTCCATGCCAACCACAAAGAAGGTCCAGCATTTTAGGACGAACTCCAGAGGACCTATGAGACTATTCGTGTCTGTGAAACACTTTTAGATGATTTAGGGGATTGGGTTTCTTCTGTCAGTTTATGCCCCTCCATCCCCCACTTGGTGGTACTATTTTGGGAAGAAGTGGATAGTGAGTAGAGGGTTAGAGCTGGAAGAAGTAGCTATATGAACAGTACTTCTTTTGAAGGCTATACCCATTGACAAGTGTTTTTCTCCCTCTCTGCCTTTTCTCTGTAAGTAGGTGAAGAAACTTACATTTTGCATTCTCCCTGTCCTGCTCTTCCCAAGAACCTGAGGCTAAGTGCCCAGGTACTGAGCTCTCTGAAACCATGAGCATTGCAATGTAAGACTTTTTCCCTTAAGCTGTATGTCAGGAGCTAGGGCAGAGCCACCTGAAAATACTGAGAACAGAAGAAAGTAGCATCAGTACTCAACTGGAGATGGAACAGGGAAACACTCAGAAAAGAAAGCCTTACAACTCAGCTGGCAAAGTAAAACATGGTATTCACACCTTCTCCGTACAAGCCCAGTGACCTTCAATTATGTAGCACATACTGTATTAGGGACATAGAAATGTGATACAGTCTCCAAAGAGCAATCAAGACAGTAAGTCAAGTTAGATCTGAACAGATAATGGAGCACAGACTAGAATAAATGTCGTACAAATGGTATCAAATAATATATGAGTCCATTCAACTGAGGTAAGTGATTTGCTGAAGGTCATTGGGAAAGGTAGTGCTAAAATTATAATATAAATTATTTCAACTCCTATACAACTGGCAGCATAAGAGATTGGGGAGTGGAGGTGGGGGGAGACTTGTGATAGATCTTGAGAATGAGGACCAGTGTAAAAACACAATCTGAAGACTGAAGGGCAGAGCAGGATACTGAGCAAGGGCAACACAGGAATAAGGCATCAGAAATCCATCACCGGTTCAGGGATCTAAAGAGACCACATGGATACTTTTGTACCTACAGGGGAATCATGAGAAATGTGAACAGAAAACATGCACTAGCTGCTTCAGATTACAGAAACAAAGGAAAAGCACTTCAGGGGAATTAGCAAGGAGGAGACAGGTATGTCAATGACCGGTATGCCAATCTGGGAATGTGGAGTTCAGGAACAAGACAATAGAGATCAAGTACAATAAAAGTACAACATATGAACATTCAAAGCGTTGGCATATTAAAGGGAGTAAGACATTGTTGATCCATGAATGTTAACCTAAAAATAAATAGCCCAGAATAAAAGGAAGCTTGATATTAGAAGATGACCACGCAAGGTGGCAGGAAGATCCAGCTCACAGAAAACTGGCCATATCTCAGCAGACGAGCAACAACCTGTGAGCAGAGACATCCTCTACAAGAAATGACCCACAGATGTGGATAAATGTCAAAGGCATGATGAGAAAAACACGCAAAAACCAGGAGTCAAACTTTATCTGTAAGGATAGCAGTGACTCCCAAACCAAACGGGGAAGGGATTATCAGGACAAAAGAAAAAATAAAAAATAAAAAATAAAAGAGACTGAATCTCAAGTAGCAAAAAATTAATTTCATAGAAGGGTAACCAGAGCCAAACTTGGGGATACAGCACAGGGTTTTTTATTGTTGTTGTTGTTGTTTGTTTTTGTTTTTTGTTTTTTGTTTTTTGTTTTTTTTTTGGACTGGACTATCTATCAGAGAAGCCACAACTTCACAGTAAGTCTCCTTTTGAGATGTACTCATATTGAATTAAGAATGCAAACCTACTTCACAATAAATCTTAATTGCTAAATAACCAATGCTCAAATCCCTCGTTGCTTTTGCGGTATTACATAATCCCCGCAATCGGATGTTTTCCTACACATCTGAGATGAAGGACGTTTCAAATATCCCCAGTTCTGCAAATATTCCAGAATCCTTAGTCAGTGATAACGAGCAGCAATTGCTTGGCCACGGTGTGACATCTCCAGCAGCAGGTTCAGCCTGCATTAGGAAAAACGTACAATAATACCCTTACTGCGGTTATGACTTGGGCATGTTGGTTACACAAGTCATGTAAAGGACGGTTGCTTGGCTAAATACTCACAAAACAGTTCCAAATGTATATATGAGGTAATGAAGCAGAACAAAGCTTTGTGGCTTTTAAGACCACGGTTAGCTATGTCTCAGCTTCTCAGTAAGTAATTTGAAATTGTCAACTGCATCTTTTTTGAGTGTTCTTGTTAGAGCAGTACTGAAACAAATGTTGGCTATCCCTAGGATTATTTAGCTCCCGAGTCTTCCAATAGTAATGGGAAATAAAGAATTAAGGAATGAATGTCCTGTTTGGGGCTGAGACTCACCTGTCATTTATTCCAAGCCCCATGAGGATCCCTGTGCTACACGCACTACTATTCACTGTGAAGTTTCTCTAATGATAAAAGTAGATTCTATGGATGCACATATAGATATTGAGACTCTAGTTTAGTGCCAAGGCTATTTAACTATAAAATAGTAGCGAGGGTGTATGACCTTCCTGGCCATGGGGTTTGGACCAGGTTTACGGGTTCTGTGTTTCTTCATATGAAACAGCCCTCAATTTCATAAGGCTCAGAGAATGTTTCAGAAACATTGTAAGAATTTAGGAGGCAAAAGGGGGGAGGGAAGTAAGCGACTTGCAATGCTATCTTCTACACAAAACAGTCCTTGTGATTTCATTACATCTATAGTTACCGGAATTGGTCCTGAACAAGGCTGCCAATTGTCAATCACAGATTGAGGATGGGCTCATGGACCCCTACCTTTTCAAAACCGTTAGATTCTGGGAGAGGAACGGTCATCTTCAATTGTATACAAAACTGTTACGTCACCAGGCTTCAACTGACATTTGTATACACAGGACAAACAGATTAATTGTGGTTAAAAATCAGGGTGTCACAAGACAACACAAAGAAGACATAGATATGGGAAGTGAACCTTTAGGAGGACACTGTGGTACCGGGGGCAGAGGGGAGAGAACTATAAGAAGGAGTGGGAAATGAGTATAGAGAATACAGTGGGTGTGTGTTGCTTTTATTGACGAAATTCATTTGTTGATACTATATATGAAATTGTCAACAAACAAATCCCATGCATTATAAAAAGCAACAAGAAATAACAGGGGCATCCAGTTCGCTCCACAGAGAGAAACAGTAGACAGATAACACAAACAGAACAAAGCAGATTGTGAGGGTCACTTGTCTTAGGTTGTGCATAAGTGCATCCTTAGATGACAGAAACATGCTTTGGCAACTTCCAAACCAAATAATCATTTTCCATTTGATGAGTGGTTTGAGACAAGCTAAGTGCTACTGTAGCTGAGCCAGTGAACTACAGTTTAAAAAGAAAAATGTATGAAATTCCAGAAATACAAAATTAATAATAAACTTTAAATTACATGCCATTCTTAGTAGTGTGCTAAAACCTTAAGCCATCCCACGCTGTTCTGCTTTAAGATATGGGGCATCTCCTATACCAGTGTATACAAGCCATTTTGTATGATATGTTCTTCTGCTAGGCACGAAGAAGCCATCTCTGTCATCAAGTAAAACACCATGGCTGTGCAGTACCTCTATTCCCTAAGCTTTTATACTGCTTAGTCATGGCATGGAGGTGTGGCCCTGGTGATACATGGCAATTTAGAAGATGTCCCAGGAGACATGGAGTGCTTCCAGTGAAAAAGTTAAAAGGATACTCAGATATTTTTAGACAGGATGATGTGTAACTTTTACAAAACATAATTTGTCATAACTGTTCTGCTTTATCCTAAGATATTGCTGGTCATCTTTTACGGTCTCCAATTTAAGGATTAAACTATCATATATATGTATGTATAGGAAACAATGTAGTACATATGTTACTTGATACTGTATGCAGATTCAGACACCACCTGGGTATTGAGGGTCTATCCTCTAGTGACTAAGAGCACAGACTGCCATATTGACTCCTTCTAAAAATAAATATCGAACTATATACCAATGGTAGCACTTATCTAAACACCATTCCTTCTGGAATGTGCCATAGTCTGGCTTTTCTCCAAGGATGGCAACCCAAATCGGTGGAAAAATATGAAAACACAGAACACAATTTTGTTATAATGTACACAAAATAAAATAGTAACCTCTTCATTCAAACTTAAATTAGTTTTTTTTTGTACTTTCAGAAAGACCAAAGAACCAAGAAAGTTCAAAATGTCAACAAAAAGATCATATTCTCTGAGTTCAACCTTAGAATAAGTAATTCATTAATTACAAAGGATACCAGACAATGTCACACGGAGGCATGCAAATAACCACCAATAGCACCATAATCACATACTGTAACTCAGCCTTCACTATTTGATTGTTTTTGTTTCATTTCTTTTTTCCCTTTAGACAAAACTTTCCTTCTATAGCCTAGGATGACCTTAACTTGTAGAAATCACCTTCCTCTGCCTCCTGAGTACTAGAATGTCAAATACCCATCATACCCAGCAAAGAGCTTTACTTCTAACATGATCTGATCTAAAGATTGGTGTAACTGACCATCAATGTGAGAGGCAGAAGTGTTGTCAAAATGATAACCACTACCTGTGGGAATAGTAACTGCTATGATAGAGGGCTTACTCTGAGTACTAGGAGAAAGACCAGTCTCTCCCAGAGATTACACTCTACTGAAAGGAAGAAGGCCGTAAGAATACAGACATTCACTAGAGTACCCTACACAGTGACG